TCCTGGCTGAACCCAGCACAGAGGCGAAGCAGCACGGTCTGCGAGATCGTTGTAGCAGGTGCTCGTAACTACACTTTGCAAAGACCTTTACTTGGATTTTTAGAATCATCTAATAATTAATAGGCAAAGTACGTGCTAATCCACCGACTTGGAAACCACTGTGGATTTCAGACTTCGCACTGGAAGCCCCCTGAAACAACCTGGTTTTCCACAGCAGTACTTCAGCCAGAAGAGCTGTACTGACACGGCGCGTGGCAGATGCACTATGCACCCGTTGCAGGCCCTACCTCCTAAACCCCATCCAGTGCCAGCCGTCACTCACCTTGAATGCAGAGCCCTTCGGTGCAATTCTCCGACTCCTGACTCAAGCCCTCGCAGTACTTCCCTCCGTTTCTCGGAGGCGGTGCAATGCATTCCCGAACTCTCAAATGCTCGCATTCCGGACTGCACACCGACCACTCGCTCCACACCTCCCAGTTTCCGTCCACTGGATGGGGAGGAAGAAAAACCAAGCGTATCAAACGGGCGTAGTTCAGAGGTCGTACCCAGGCTACTTGTTTCATCTCTCTCCTCATGTCACAGCAGGTAAAACAAAGTATAATTCTCACGAGAAATAAATACAGTTCTCGCAGAGGTGAAGTTGAAATCCAGCATTAGAATGTACCACCTCAGGCGTGCAACATGGAAGCTTTTAAAGTCACACCAGTACCTAACAGCCTGCAAATACAGTCAATTAAAACTGCAGGAGGAGACATTGCCTTTGCCACCTAGCCATTAGCTTCTAATGTGTCCCGACAAATTCCACCTTAACGCAGGCTGCTGTAGAGGCCACACGTTTTCCTACCAGAGAAATGCTGCTGACGTTTGCAGAAAGAGCAGAGCTGGCCTTGCAGGCTCGGGCTAATGCCCGGAGCAAGACAATAATCAATATGTTGCTTTGCCGACTGATTTATAGCTCTCTCTGACCCTGTCCCAAACGAGGAGGGTTTCCACAGTTGCTTTCTTTTTCATGCATAAATCAGCCTGAAGAACAGGCAGATGAACACAGAGACATACGTGAATAACAGTGAGTTCTTTAAAGCCCAGTTCAGGACATGTTGTATCTCTAAACTCCTAAAGGCTGGGAGAGAGATCCGCCGGGATCCAGACAAGCTATGCTGTGACCACGGACACACGCACACAGTCCCACTGCCTTGGGCCCTGTGTGTGAGACACCAATCCCAGAGCCAGATAAGGGAGGTTTCAGGTGAAGAAATGATGACACGCAGTGTCCGGGGATGTAACGCCATGCTCCATGTGCAGCATAAGCTCAGTTTCAAGGGGTTACTATACGTGAAAGCAAACTTTTGCAAGGTAAATAATGCTTTTAAGTGAAGTTCTCAGCATGGGTTTCTGTGTTTCTCTTTCTAGCATTACTAACACATCACCTCCCCTTTCCCTTTACCCTCACCCACTCATGATTTTTCACATTGGAGAGGTTGCTATTTTGTTACCGAGTACTTGGATTCAGTCTAAGTTAAAGCTCTGAAAAACCTGGCAGATCAGGCCAGAGGTGCTTGTGACTGCTGCTGACACCCTGCACCGGGCTCTGAGCTCTAGACTAAACGAGGATGCGTTTCCTTGTTGAGCTCAGCGGGCTCTTCACAGCACATCCGCCTGCCTGGCACTTCAGACCGAAAGAGCCCTCCCATAAATGTGCCAGCCCAAGTTATTCCCGAGCCGACTGTGCGTATCTCACCAGGGCAGAGAGAAGTGCAGGTGATTTTCTGCACCGACATTCCTTCGCAGAACGCGCCCCCGTTGAGCGGGGCAGGGTTGGTACAGGTCCGCGACCGCTTCTGCCAGCCCCGGCCGCAGCGGGCGTTGCAGTTTGACCACTCGGTCCATGACGACCAGCCCCCGTTAACTGCAAAACACAGACACGCCTCAGGTCGCGGTGGGTGTGCCAGGAGGCGTCAAGCAACAAATCCGATCGGATCATTTCATTCAAAGGCAGGAGTTTGGTTTTACATTCCATGCAGAAGCAGGAGCGTTGCTGCCTAGCAGTACACAGCTCCACGAAGGCCAGGGCGTCAAAGAACACAAGTGTTTGTGTTGGGAGAGCAATAAGCTAAGAAGTGCAGTGACAGAGAGTCCGGGAGGGAGGTCAAAGCAGGCACCTGGACTCTCACAACACATGCTTTGCCTAAATCATAAACAAGATGTCTTCATTTTCAAAAAGGTGATTTAGGAATGCTCTGCCTCCACCAATAAAATCTCACTCAGGGTAATAAACATGGAGAGCAACAGAGGGTGGGAATAAAGCGATGGTTGTGCTCGTTTGTCCTTCGCAGTGTGGCACCCAGAGCCACCAGCCAGCGCCTGGACACGGCAGCACCACGAGGCGCTTAAGGCAGCCCTTCACGTCCCCCCCAGGCGTGTGCTGCGGGGTTTCCTGCCACAGGCGAGGCTTCTTTATGTGCTTTAGTTCCCACTGGATCTTCCTTACTGACATACCTTCCGGGAATCCATCACAAACCAACCCCCCGTAAGTCTAACCTCTCTAAAAGCGGGCGTGATCCCAGCGGGGCGGGTACCCACGTCACTCAGAACCGGCTCTGTGTTAAAAACAAAGTCCTCCAGCAGCAGCAGCACGCACACCTGAGTTTTTCAGGTTTTCACTGACCGTACACCACAACTGTGGCAGACATGCTCCTTCTCTTGGCAACGATGTTGGCAGCCATGCAGGTGTAGTTCCCGGAGTCAGAGAGACGCGCCTGCCGAATGATGAGGTTGTGGTCCGCCCTGGTGTCGATGTTCTCATCCAGGTGGGAATCTATGGGCTCCTCATTCTTTAGCCATTCCACCTGAAGAGGGACGGAGCAGAGAAGAACATGAAGGAGGGAAAGAAGAGATGGAAGCAGGAGACATGCAAAATCATTTTGCAGTGATTTCATTAACAAACATCATCGTGATCACTACTATAAGCATTACGATAAAAACCAAGCTAGGGCGGGATTCCCCAGCAGGAACACACAGAATCAGAACAGAGCCTGTTCACATGCTGAAAACCCTGGGGCTTGTTAACAGAGGCACACCAGATGAAATGCTAGGACCCAATAAAGTAACGAATAATTAAGAACATAAACAAAATGGCAGAGAGCTCATTCAGAGTTGCAAGGGTGTGGATGATGAGGGCAACATTATTTATATTCTGCTGGGAGAAAAATAATAAAAGATGAGGAAAAAGAGGATAGAAAAAAGGAGAACAATTAAACGCACTTTTCCTTGTGGTATTAGGTTGTTTAGGGGCTTTAATATTTAATCCAAAAAATCAAGAAGTGATGATAAAAATACTGGATTCATTACAGCTGAATATATTTATTTACCTCCTGGTTCTCTTCAGCATAAGCATTAAAGCTTAAACCTGAAATAATTTTCTTAAATAACAATAAATTACACCTTATTATTTCCTCTATATTTGTTCTGGACTCTAGACTGTGTATTCTGTTTTTATGGTAGCTGTTCATTTATTCAATTATTGTCCTATTTAGGGGAGCCCTTTTGCCTTCTCTAAAAGCAGGGGGAAGCCTGTAAAGCCAAACGAAGGCACCCGATGCCTCGGGCTAACGCCCGCATTGACCCGATGGGGAGACGCTTCCTTTGGCCCCGGGTGCAGTGGGATGTGTCCGATGAGCAGTCCACGGGAATGTCACCTCATGACTGCCACGTTTATCTTCCCCGCCCCCCCGCAAAGCCCAGAGGAGGGCACTATGGGCGACCAACTTAGAAAGGCTGATTTTTATCCTAAGATAATGGAAGAAAAACTCAACTGAGGGACAACAAGAAGCATTTAAAAATACTACTCTGGCTGTACAGTGCTTTATGTGTTCAAACAACTGGACAATGATCCGTTAAGCTTCGTAACAGACTGAGATGACATACAGTAAGTATTGTTAATTCCACTTTGAGAGAGAAACAGAGGGATGAAGTCGCTTAACATCACACACAGTGGAACATCATAACGGGTTCCCAATCTTCATAAACATTCTTAACCCAGAAACCGTCATATTTGTGGTCAAGGTACATAAATAACATGAAATGCTTTGTATAGTACGTTTCAATACATCATCTCCAGTTCACCAACCAACATCTCTCTGAGCAGAGCCAGGAATTACCTGCAAGGCATCTCTCTGCTTGAAACATGAGAAAAAAAAAAATAGGTAAGGCACGTTAAGCTGCTGCTACAGAAGTGAAAAATGAAAAATAGGAGAAGAATCAAGAGATTCTCTTAAAAGACTGAATAAACGTGAGGGGATTTAATAGTGTTTCTAGACCTGACGGAGGCATGGCCGCACCCTGAAGTCAAACACCCTTCTCAGCTCAGCTCAGGTGAGTAACCTTGTTTAGGAACTTGTGGAAGGACTCAGAACTTTGTGGTAATGAGCTTACGGATTTGCTAGCTACAGGCACTCATTAGCACGCTGCTCTGCGCAGATGGTCTGCCATTTGCAGATTTTCCAGTGTATAAACAAATCCGCAAAAGCTGACCATCAAAGCCAATTAGATTTCATGCCAGCCAGCAGGTTCCCCTCCCAGCAGCATCAATCGTTTTGGTTGGCTGGGGACAGGAGACGCACGGCTGACGCAGCCGTGGCTCCGCGTGTCCCGGCACGAGGCAGGTCAGTGGCACTGCTGCCCTGCGCGGCCAGCGTGGACCTAGACGGGCTGTCACACGCATCCGCCCACAGAGGCGCTGCCTGAGGACGAAGTAATTCAGCTGCCTGCGGTATGCAGCGCGGGAAGTCTCCGTACGCTCTTTTCCTCAAACTGCAGCTAACCGAGGAGGGTAGCGAAGCCAGGACGTCGCCATCGAAGCCCCCGCGCAGCAGCCAAGACCTCGCAGCCTGTTCCTGCGTCCCCAAAGCTCGGTCACGGCGCTGCTTCGGTTTGGCTTTCGTCTGTGATCTTGCTGTTTACATTTGTTCACAAACTCCTTCCCCAAAGTGGAGTGAGTTTTGTGACCCCGCGACGCGGTGAGCTGCAGCGCACACCAGGATAGACACGGCGTTTCCAACGGTGATTTCTGCGGTACAGCCCAGGCCGTCAGGGGAGGCGGAGCCTGGCACAGGTTCTCAGGTACACCCTGAGGAGACTTCTCACCAGAAGTCTCACTCCCTGAACGTGCTTTCCTTCCTACTGCTCAGAGTTGCAGCCGTGCTTTGCCGTCAACTAGGTACACCCAGTAGCCTCGGTCTCCTAACTTCCATTGCTAGGAGCATCCTAGGAAATCGCAGGGCCAGCATCCCTCTGCCTTTTGCGGGGCAGTGAGGGGGCACAGGAGGGTTCCAGGTCCCCATTCCTGTTACACTGGGCTGCGGGCTGTTTCTCCTGTAACAACTATTTGGGGAGGGAGCGCACACGCCAATCCAGTGTTGACTAAGTCGAGGCCTGCAAGGCTTGGGGAATGAAAAACATTTACATTAGAGCAAAGTATTTAAAAGAGCGATGATCCCATGGAGGGAGAGCATTAAACAGAGGGAACGCAAACACGGAAGTGCTGAGATGGGCTCAAGAGATGATCTGTAAGCGAGGGCACGCATTGCCTTTGGCTTTTTATCTGGAGGCTTGATGACACCGCACAGACCCGTCTCTAACTCCAGCCTCCCCGCCCTGGAAGAAAAACCAGGTTTATTCAAACCCATTTGCCTTTGCCTCAGCAGACGAACGCTTCCAGAGATGGAGAAGTAAGGGATGCGTGTATAGGATAAATGGAGAGATTTAAACGAGTCACGATGACAAAAGGTTGCTGTTACTCGCAGTCATACTCCCTTTGGAAGAATTCAGTGCGCGCACACAAAACAACCCAGCAAAATAAAGGCAACGAAGAAACTGCAGTGTCTCCGTAGTGCAACGGGGTTTTCAACTGCCAACCTGCAGCGCCCGAGGAGTGGCCTCAACACTCAGCAGCGTTTACCTTCCCTCTCTATCATCAGGGGAGGTCATACAGGTGCCTGTAACACCATAAAACACATTTCTCTGTAAGAATGAGTCTGTCTGAAGATCTTCAATGTTTCTATCTTGATCTAGAATTAGACACTGCTCTAATATGCCCCAAGTTTATATCAAGATACCTGATTTTGTGTTCCCCTGAAATTAAATCTGCTCAGAATCTAAATACCCCCATCAGTTTCCAGCAGAGGCTAATCACGTAATGATCTACAGAAGAAATGCAGGGGCAGATATGGATTAACTCAGCTACTACATGTTGGGTGGCAGCAGATGAATTAGCATAATCATAAATTTGTTCCAATTACAGAAAGCAATTATCAGAGACCAGCTTACAGCACTGCCGAAGGAAAATCAGTTGAATACCCCGTATCCTCGGTAGATTACGAGGTGAGGTAGCCAACTCCTTGTCTTCACAGACAAAGCTTGTCGCACTCATCGTGTTGCTGACCGCTGCCCGCCGCGTGGAAGCGGGGCGTCGGGAACACAATTGCAGATGGAGCTGCCGCAGGCGACGCGCTCTCGCTGCGCTTAGCGCGAGCAACACAAACAGCGCTTGCGCGTCGGCCGTACTTGTGTACCTACCCCTACAGATACGACGCACATACATCTTCCAGCTGCCATACAGCAAACCCCAATGCTCTGGGGACTCCCCAGTGCGAATATTGATGGAGAGAGAGCTGAGGGGGAGACTGGGGAAGCTCTGGCAAAGGTTGCTTCGATTCCCGCAAAACACTGCCCATTTTATGGGTTATACATGTGGCTTCTGTGGGAACAGGATGCTACACCCCAAAATCTCAGCTGCTTTTGAGCCTGATGGCAGCATCGCTGTGACAGGCTCCGGGTGAGGCCTTCAGACAGACATCAGCGGTGTAATTCCGGGAGAAAAGGCGGCTAACTCCAGGTCATCTGGCTAAGCATTGCTCCCCCTTTGCCAGATTTGAGAGACTGAGCCTCCTGCATGACCAAAGGATATTCTTGTTTGCAGCAACAGAAATTACTTTTTGGTCTGGCTGGTTTTAATACCAGATTTATTATTTAAACCTTGAAGATTAGAGTAGGTCAGGTATCAGTTACAGGCCTTAAATGATTTGGAGAGTTCCTCATCAATTGCTCAATCTAATTTAAACATCCTGAGAGCTGCCTGCCCGTGACTGCATTTCCTACTGTTTCTAGCGTATCTTGTTGGAGGCTATAAAGAGATTTAATACCCGGCAGGAACAATACAACTCAGCTCTTGTGGGCACACGATAATTCTGTAGGTCAGAAGACAAAAGACCTTCGTACTCCTGCTTTTAGATTATACTATCCTGCCCTTTAAATACAACATCTGACTTTCTCATGTGGTCAATAACCAGAGTACATATATATCAAAGATAATATAGTTAGAATGTCAGCTTCTCCTGAAGAAAGAATCAATTGCTTTCTTGATACAAGATAAACGCTTCATGATTTTGAGATGGCAAAGGTCAGCACCTGACTTACGGCAGCACAAATGTTTCTTAAAGCACAGTCAATTTACAGATTTTGAATATGCTCTCTCAGATGGAGAAAGTCGTAAACACATCCTTACCTTTCCTTTAAGACAACACCACCGCCCAGTTTGCTCCTAGGAACAAGCCAACACTTGCGCCTTTCGGATAAAACAGGTTTGCCAGCCCCGGATTCACCGAGTACAACAGAGCAGCATTTGGGAAGTACGGCAGAGAAGGCAGTGAGCCAACAGGTGTACTGCTGCTCACGAGACTGCAGCCAAGTACCCTCAACACAACTCTGGTATCCGACCCTGCCCTGCAGGAAAAAGGCTGCGAACTTCTAAAACTCGGAATATCTAACTTCCAGCTGAACGCTTTTTTTT